TAGAATAGAGGTCCAGGAATATATTCATGTGTATATAGAAACCTAATCAATAATGCACGTATGCTTTTCGATAATGGGGAAAAGATAAACTATCCAGTAAAATGTACTGGGACAATTGACTTATTCATATAGAAAAATAGATTGGATTCCTATTTCACAACACATACAAAGTCAACTTCAGATGATTTAAGCTTAACTATGAAAGGCAAACCTACAAGATATTAAGAAAACACTACAAAAACATATTCTTTAGAATATGGAGTTGAAAGGGATTTCAAAATGTTTAAAAACTTGCTATATTAGAACACATTAAAATAAATAACATATGTTCATGAAAAGACATCATAAAGAAAATGAATAGACAGGTCATAAACTGGGAGAAGCTATTTGCATGCAATAGACAGATGAAGGTTTAATATAGATTTTTATAAACAATTCATACAAATCAATAAGAAAAGGACAAGCAATCTGTAGAAAAAATGGGACATATTATTGAACAGGCACTTGGCAAAAAAAAAACTGGAAAAATAAGTTGTCTTATTACTAATCTGAGAAATGGGATTTGAAAGCACAATACCATCTGAATTGATGAAAATTAAACATCTGGAAACTCCACAAGTATAGCTATTCTGGAAAGCAATGGCATTGCCTGGTAAAGTGGAAACAGCATACTTTCGAACCAACCATTCCCAAGTTAGGTATATATCCTAAGAAGTGCTTGTACATGTACAAGGGGACATCAACAAAAAGCATTATAGCAGCATTGCTGGTGGAAAAAGAACTGAAAATATGACAAACGTCTGTTAGCAGGAGACTGGATGGATATATGGCAGTACATTCATATAATGGCATACAGCATGAGAAAAAATGAGCCATGCCTACTCACATATAAATTATTGGAACATCGTGCTTGGTGAAAAAAAGTGAGATGCAGAACAATTCACATGGTGAGATTCCATTTATGTAAAGTTTCCAAACATTCACAAGTAAATAACATATTGTTTAAGGATTCAAATGTGACAGACTCATGAAGAAAAGCATGGCAATGGTAAATATAAAGTTCAAGATGGTGGTTATCTTTCAATGGGGGCTGGGATAGAAAGAAGGATGCTCTTAGAAAAGCACCTTCAAGGGTTTAAAAAATTCTGATTGTTTTGTTTTTTTACCCTTAATGAAGGGCACTCAGATGTTCATTATAATCACTCGAGGCCTGGTGCATGAATTCATGCATGGGTGGGGTCCCTCAGCTTGGCAGGCAATTAGGGCCGATTGGGGCCAGCTGGTCAGGGGGAGGGACCACAGGAGGTTGGATGGCTGGCCTTGGGAGGGACTATGGGAGGTGGGTGGACTGAGGGAGGTTGACTGTGGGAGTGCACTGACCACGGAGGGAAGACACTGCCCCCGGTGGTCAGTGCACATCATAGCCACTGGCTGGTCATCCAGTCATCAGGTCATCTGGTCATAAGAGTCTCTTAAGCTTTTATATATGTAGATTCTTGATATGTTAACATGTGATATGTATTCCTTCATATCAGTTCAATAGTTAATAAGACAATTTGAAGAATATTCGATAAACACTCTGCTTTGTTTTCTTAACAAACAAACCCTTTCTTCTAATTCTAAATTAGTTATTGCTGCTGCTGTTTCATTTTGCCACCTGCAATTTAGAAATTAGTATTAGGTCACCTATCAAAGAAGTTTGTTTAGAAAAAGGAAAAGTATTCCTTGATATTGCTGGGCTTGTGGAATGGAGGATAAGGGCAGAAACCCGTGTTTTGCATGGAGCAGATGATCTGAAAAAGGACTGGCTTTGAATTAAAATAAAAAGTAAAATTCTCTTTAATTTCCAAGAAGCTATAAAACACTTGGTTTCAGAATTTTCAGTGGACTTTTCCTTCCACTTAGTTGCTGCACCTGTTTGTAAGCTCTTTCCTGAAGGCCAACTCTTCAGGAATCCCATGGCAGCCAATATCCTGACAAGTTTGGCACTGGTGTCAGGAGAGGTAGGGTGGAGTGGAGCCAAGAATTTTGGCTGCCTGGCCTCTGGGATTGCCACTGGAGCACAGCTGGAGGTTCAGGACACAGAGGCCAGACTGGCAGAATTAGAAACTGAGGGTGGAACAATTAACCACCGTTCTGGGCAGTGCTGCCAGACGATCTAGTTAATTTGCTTTTGAATAATTAACTTGAAGACTTTAATTATCGAGATTCATTATCAGCCACCATCACCTTCATTATCACCATGATTATTGCCACCAAGAGCACCTTAAGCAGAGCAGTAGATGCTGTTCAAAATCCGTTTTGAGATGTGAGTCTTATCCTACAGTGAAGATGAAAATGTGGTCACGAAAGATGCAGACAGATGAACCAACATCAAATAAAGGAGCCTGGCTTAGTGGCAGATTCTGTTGCTGTATTCGTTGGCTGTTTTTTTTTTTTTTTTTTCCCCCCATTTGCTTTTGATTTTGTAGGACTCATTTAGTAAGCCTTGGCATCCTCACCCCATAAATACAGCCTGCTGAAAGTGATTTACTTAGAGTCAGTTTAATTATTTTAAACCCCATAGTTATGGAAATCATTCTTTGAAAAATAAATAAATGTAATAATTTAAGACTTTCATAAATCTTATTGGTGCATAATGAGAAACTATTCGCTCCTTTTAACTTCACACATATTGCCAATATGTCATATTCACATGTTTATTATCTCCTTCAATAATACTATTTCCAACTCTATCTTAATACAGTTTTCCTCTGTGGGCTTGGCTGCCCTTTGCTTCTCCAAATATCTCATGTTTGATGCTGGGTAAGCTGTAAGGTGCAGGGGAGATATATGATCTGTGTATAAACCCTGATTCCATCATTGGTAGTTGTTGGACAGAAGTTATTTAAAATCTCTGATCCTCAGCTCTGCATCAGTAAAATGGGCATAATAGTCTCTATCTTGTAATGGAAATAGTCCATGTAAAACATGCAGCAAGTAATTGTTCGTAAACTTTAATCACTTCGTTATACGAAAATATAGGTACAGCAAAATGTATCTAATAAAATTTTTTGATGAGAACAAATGGAAGGTGAAAAAAGACATCTCACTTCACCTGCTCTCATGAAGCCTTCAAAATCTCAGGAGGGCTGGTCACTCATAGCCACAATATTCCTGGAGGGCAACAAAATCTCTGTCCTTCCATACAATCACTGGGAGTGGACAGTTTTTTTTTCCTTCTTTTTAAGGAAATGAGGAAATTACATATAAAAGATGGAACTTTGAAATGACACATGGAGTTTTAGTTGTGGAGTAAAGGTCTTACTGAAAGATGATTCAACTTATTTGGCTTGAAAGCAAGTTAAAAACAACTTGATTAAGCATTGAGAAGTATGTGAAAATCTAGAGATGAACAGATAATAAAATTCAGTTGATCTGCTTGTATTATGATGTACACTGGAAGTTTTTTGAACTTTGTTCAAACACTAGTTGTCTTCTGGTCTGTAATTTTACTTTAACATCATATCATTATTTATTCCATAATTAAGATAGTATATTACAAAGCACTTGGGAAATGGAGAATTTGAAAAACATGTTTTTCCTTCCTTTGGGGGCGGGGCCAGCCAGGGGGAGGGGCTGGAGGTTGTTTGGCTGACCCTCTCCCCACCCCCCGCATCCAGGGTTCACTGGCCCAATGGGTGTTATAGCAACCAATTGTTACAGTGTTCTAGTCACTGGCTTTTTATATATATAGATATTTTGTGGCTGTAATCATTGTTTGTATGTAATTTTCCAACTTAATTTTTAGTTAGTATTATGACAAAATATTTTTAAGTGCTAAGTGTTATATTTATTACATTTTATGATTTAACAGGCTTTCTATTGTGCATATTAACATTGCTTCCCAATTTTTGCTGTAACATAATTATTGTGAAGGACAGTTTTGCTTCCGGAATTTTTCAAAGGCTTTTATCTGTATGAAAATGCCAATTAAAAAAAAAAAAATAAAAGTACCAGTTCTCAAAACTACATTCCAGCAAATTTCTGCCAGGTCTTTCCTCTTGAGCCCAGCACAATTCGTCAATCCTGATTTCTCTCACAACCTGCAGGCAGGTGAGCTCTGCATAAGTTACAAAAGATGGTAGAGGCAGTTTTGTTTAAAAGTTAGCATTACCGAGTCCTAGTAATACTACAAGGTCAATGAGAAAGAGAGAGATCTTGCTGTAGCAACAAAGTCTAACCTATTCTGGTGCTCATTCCTCTATGAGACAAGCCATTATGTAGACTTAGTGAGAAAAAACAAACAAACATCAACAAAGAAAACCAAACCAAGCCAAAACAAAAAAACATAAAAAAGAAAGAGAGAAGCATAAAAAAACATTTAAAACTGGCCAGAAAACTTTATGCATGCACTTACTCCCTAAATCCATATGGGAGGGCTGGAATAACTATTTGTCTCTTTATCTTATTAACACTGTTTTTGACCTTTAGTCTTTTTTCTTATTCCCCCATTTTTCCTTTACCCAGACTGTTTTGTCAAGGAATTTGAGGGCTCAATGGACTTGTCCATCCTCTTTTTATCCTCTCTAGCTTTCCTTCCTCATCCTATGTCCAGTGTCTTAAAGAGTAGTTTTTATGAATTCAGTTCAGAAAGTACTGAGCATTGACTATGGGCCAGGTGCAGTGGTAGGTCCTGGACATTCAATGGAGAGTAAATAGTGTAAGGGCTGGTCAGAGGATGGTGGGAGGTTCTGACCGAATGGATATCTGAGGCAGAGATGGAGTTAGCCAAGTGATGAGTGGGTGTGCATGTGCATGTGCATGTGTGAAGGGCATATCTGAGAGGCAGGGCTTTGCAAAGCTCCGTGGTGGGAGTGTGAAGAGTGCAGAGGAGGAAGACTGCAATGTTTGAAACCTCATTCCCTCAATGTAGAGCCCAGCTAACAGTAGCACGTGCAAATCACAAAGCTCAGCTGTCCATGCTTTCCCGGTGGTATCCTGTCTGGGTCATCAGTTACCTTTTCTCATCGTGTCTGTAAGATGAAGAGGTCCGGCCGCTGGTCCATATAAACATCTTAGAGGATGTGGGTCCAGAGGCTCCTTTCCTTAGGGTGGAAGTCCTGGGGGAATGATGGAAAGACCTAAAAGAGGTACACACTGAAGTTCAGTACATTGCTTTAAACTGTGGGAACTCTGTATCTACAACAACCCATAGCTCTCAGTGGATGGACCTTTAAGACTGGGTTTCTGATGCTATGGGGCAGCAGGTATCAACCCTGGCTGCCTATGAAAGTCAACTGGGTGCTTTTTAAAAAACCACTGAAGCATGTGCTCTTCCCCAGAAATGTGCGTGCAATGTTTTGAAAGCTTCCCAGGTATTTCAAATGCATTGCTTTTGCTGGGGTTGAAAGTCACAGCCTTAGGGCAACACGTTTTTCCAATTGATATTAAGATCATATTGCCTCTAAAATGCCTCCTCCAAAATATAATTTTGGTATGATTTCACACTCTGTGGTACACTGTATATTTCCAAAATTTTGGTTCAGATTTGCATACTAACTTTTTGCTTCTTTTCTCTTCAAAATGTTTTTCTTGAAGCTGACAGATAGAAGATTTTTGGGACATAGTATCCTTTTTTAAAATGTGCTCTACTGTTGCCAAGCTGTGAGTTCATCCCCTTGCAGCTGAGAAAATCACAGCAGCAGTGGTAGCAGATACTGACTGGCTCCTAGAAGCCTGGCTTATGGGATCTAGAATCAAGATATCAGAGAATGTCGTGTTCTTTTGGCTATGAGGTAATTTAGGAATAAGTTCTTTCATCCCTAAGCATAGCACTAAAAATAGTTAGCTATTATTATTTATTTTCTACATAATAATCATCTAGGGAGTTAGAAACACAAAAAATCATAGAAATTGTAATCACATTTACAATTTAAAATTATATTTAACAAGAGGAGAAAAAGGAAGGGAGGTAGGAAGGTGATTCCTTATGGTTTCATTGTCACTCTTGGCTTTCTTTCTGGTTGAACACAATATTGATGGTTAGCCTGGGGATCCAAATAATATTAGCCACTATACATTGTATTAGCTACTAGATATGATATGTGCACATATTATCTATACATACGTCATGAAATGTACATGCATGTACATTTACTTATATGATATACTTATATGATAAAAACCCTGTAAGCTATTATTTCCAGATTACAAATGACATCTCCAAGAGATTGAAAAGAGATGGAATCATTCTTCCAACCAATGTCTACTTGCCTCCAGTTCTTGTGCTCTCTAGGGAAAGACTCATTATGGTCTAGCCCAGTGATTTTCAAGCTGTCATGTGCATGCGAATGTCCTAGGGATCTACAATGTAGAATCTGATTCAGTGGGCCTGGGGTGGGGCCCAAAATTCTTCATTTCTAACAACCTTTTGGGTAATGCTAATACCACTGGTCTGCAGACAACACTGAGCAGCAAGGGCTAAGGGTCAGTGCTTGGTTATAGGCCCGATTTTGCTACTAACTAGCTATGTGGCCTTGAGAAACTCACTTAACTTTTCTAGGGCTTAATTGTTTTTAATCTGGAACATGAAATGTTGGAAACAGGTAACTTCTAAGATCTCTCCCTCAGCTCAAAAATTTTGTGACCCAGTAAGTTAAAGAATGAATCTAAGTATATTGTAATTAATTGCATTGCCTACTTTCAGAAAGTAGATCTGGGAGTGGAGCTCCGTCCATAACACTTGGGCCAGCATCAGAAGTAGAAAGAACAAAGACCCTACCACCTCCCAGGGTCTTTGTTCTTTCTACTTCTGATGCTGGCCAAGTGTTCAGAAGTAGAAAGAACAAAGACCCTGGGAGGTGGTAGGGATTTGGTAACCAGTATGGACACGAGAAGTCATACTTCCACCCTTGCTATCCTAGGAAAAATGGCAGAAATGAATGAGTGCCCTAAATAGTTTTAGAAAGATTTAAAAGTTAAATCTGCTAGATCTTCAATGACTTGGATCTGGTATATTTAAAGTTATTTATGTTGCCCTTTTAAAAATATTTAAAGCATATCAAAAGTATAATATTCTCAAGATCCATTCATGCTGTAGCGAATGGCAATATTTCATCTGTTTTATGGCTGAGTAGTATTCCATTGTATGAAAGATATAAAGAAGATGTGACATATCACATCCACAAGCACTTAGATTGTTTTCATGGCCTGGTTATTATAAATAACGCTGCAATGAACATAGGGGTCCATATATCTTTATGAATAAGTGTCTTCATATTTTTCAAGTGTATATCACAAAGAGAAATTGCTGGATCATATGGTAGTTCTACATGATTTTACTTTGTGAAATACAAAATAAAAAGTAACAAACTAACAAAACAAACAAAAACAAACTTATAGATACAGACATCAGAATGCTGTTTACCAGAGGGGAAGAGGTGTCAGGGGATGGTGAAATGGGTAAAGGGGTCAAATATATGTTGATGGGAGGAAACCAGACTTCAAGTCATGAGCATGCCATGAAATACATAGATGTTGAATTGTAACATTGTACTTTTAAAATTTATAGAGTGTAATTAATCAATGTTATCCCAACCATTTAATTAAAAAAACAACAACAACACATAGTCTAGAGATTAAATGCATTAGTATTAAAACCCATCAGCCTTCAGGAAAGAAGAATGATTTTAATCTAAGTTGAATAAACCACTTCATAAAAATGAGGTTTGGTTTAAACTTTCTAGAAGTGATTTCAACATTTCTGATCACTTTAGTCACCTCTCCAATGGTTAATGACGTTGAATAGACAAAGAAAAGTGGTACAATCTGAGTCAAGGTAAAGCAAAAAATGGCTGAGTTCCTGGCCTGTTACTGGTTATTAGCCTGCATGGGATGGACAAACCACAAACCATATTACAAATGCTTTGAAGTCATTCCAAGTGAAAGGGGCTGCAGTGATTTCAAAAACACTTAGGTGACTTCAGACTGCATTGCTCCTTTGTGCTATCGCTCTAAGATGATAAAGGGGAGATGAAAGATATATTTATTCTAATGAACTGTCTAAAACTGGTTGAAAAGACCTTATTGACTCCTCAGGTTATTCCAATAAGTGGATTTGAGTATCTTTACTCCAGTTTTTTCTTTTTCTTTTTTCATAAAGATGCAGTTATTTAAAACCTGCTAAGTTTGTTGTTAATTAAAAGGGAAGGGAGTAACCGCCTTAAGGACAACAGTGTAAAGGTTTTGTGCAGGTTGAAAACAATTTCCAGGCTTCAAAGAAAGACTCGGATTATTTAATGAAGCTGGTTAGGCAGTTCTCAGCTCAAAGGCAGCCCTCCTGAACTCCTCACATAATTACCTTAGTTCTGCTCACTGTCTAAGACAAGCAACATTTCTTTTGAATTGTGATGAGGAAAGTTATACAGAGACAAGAAAGCACTTTATTAAACTTTGCCATTTGGAGTCCTACCATGAAACAGAGATCTGTGTTGGTGGCTGCAAGGGGCTGTGGGCAGGGGGCGAAAACCTGGTCCAATTCCATCGTTAAATGACCTAGGAACTGAAGAGAATCAGGCAAAGCCACGACTATATGCAGATGAATGTGATCTGAAACCCAGAATCCTAAGGCGGGGAGTCAGTGAGACTGGAACAATATCTTGCCCTCGGGAATTTACAAGGGGGCTTTTCCCATTTCCAACACACACATTGTGGGTTTCTATCTCACTAACTCAGGTCACACTTTTCCTCTGCCTCCCATCCCTGCAAGGAGGGACTTCCTCCATTTTGAAGGCCATCTCAGATGTCACCTTTTCTGAGAAGCCTTCTCTGGCCCACATGGGCAGCTTCCTTGGCTCTGCTCCCCATTCCTGGTACTTGCCTCTGTTTGAGCAAGGCACAACTTATCCCGCCTCCCCTGCCAGGCCAAGGGCACTTGGGGCAGGGCAGGGCTCTGTCTTATGAATCTGTTTTTTAAATTTTAAACAAACATTTTTTGATTTTTTACAGAGAGGAAGAGAGAGGGATAGAGAGTTAGAAACATCGATGAGGGAGAAACATTGACCAGCTGCCTCTTGCACACCCCGCACTGGGGATGTGCCTGCAACCAAGTTATATGCCCTTCATTGGAATCAAACCTGGGATCCTTTAGTCCACAGGCCAATGCTCTATCCACTGAGCCAAACCAGTTTCAGCTGTCTTATGAACCTTTATGCCACAGCCCAGGGCACACAGTGACACACTGGTTATGTTCGCTGCCTTGACCATTTAAGTCTCTACTAGAAGCATGACCATTGGTACTGGCCCTGGTGACCTGAGTGGGGGTCACTACCACAGGGTGTAGCCCACAACTCCTTCTGGGTCCTTCCCTTAGCTTGGGATGTCCCTCCTCCTTCCATCCCTCACCGCCTCTCTTCCCTTGATGGTCCTCCTCCCTCTGTCTCATTCATTGACTTGGACAGAAGGCTTCTATTTCTTGCTGAATTATCACCCTGTAAGGTTTTCTTTAGAGAGGGCAGTGCGGCTAATGAGCAGATGAGCAGGAGGGCCCCACGTGCCAGTTTGTTTGCTCACATATTGGCATCACCACCCACCAGTTGTGTGACTTGGGACAAGTTGATTTAGCATCTCCGTGTCTTAGATTCTACAGTTGTATAAGTGGGAACAATAATCCTTGCCTTTCTGGTACAAACTAAACATTAGTTTATTAATTTTCCTCCTGTTATTAATTTTAAAGGCAAACATAATTGGATTTTATTTTTTTATAAAAAAATCCAATTAAGTTGTTTTGTACATGTACATCGAGACTATTGATTCCCCCTGCACCCCCCCCCGTGGATTAGTGACACTCAATAGAGAAAACATAGTTTTCTGAGATATTGAGATAATAAAGCTGAAATACTTCCTTATTCACATTCAGTTAGGTGATTCTGAGCACCCATCCTGAGCAACAGAAGCATAAGGAAGGTTCCTCTGAATCCTGGACACACATTCGAATCATGGGAGAAGCATCTAAAGAAAGCTGATGCCTGGGTCTCAAGCCAGACCTGTGAGAAACTGTAGGGGTTATCATTTTTA